AGAAACCTAAAAAGCAATACCTTAGCTAAGTGATCGATGAACTTCAACAGAAATAAATCAAGGAGAGAGGATTTGTCTGTGGTACAATGGCATTCTATCTATGCAGTCATTCCCCCTGCAAACACTTACCATCCTACTTTAAACATGAGAAAAACATCAGAAAAAGGGCTCTCTAATAGATAACCATCCAATGACATACTTGACTAACAATTCAAAACTGTCAAGATCATCAAACACAGGAGAAGTAAGTGTAAACAAGTGTCACAGCTTAAAGAAGTCTAGGAGACATGACAACTATGGGGAAGGATGGACACAAACAAAAAAGCTAAAGATAACTTAGTAAGAGAATTGAGTTAATAATGCCAATTTGATTAATTATAACAAATGTATCATGCTGATGTTAGATACATGGATGGACCTTTAAAAGCTAAAGATAACTGAGTAAAATATAGACTTTGGTTAGTAAAAAGGTATCAATTTTGTATAATTATAATGAATAGAAGATACTAACAATAGGGGAATGGGCAAAAAAATAAGGAGACTCTAGATTATCTTCTTGTATATTTCTGCAAATCTGAAGGTATTCTAAAAACTGTTTATTTAAATTTGTTAAAAACAGAAATCTCAAATGTAGCAACATCATACTGTTTTTAACAACTTTAAACTGTGCTTGTAAGTTTCCTGAGATAAATATATCAGAGTACAGGTTCCCATCGCATTTCTTTCTCATGCAAATATTCTGAGTCAAGACTCAGTGGTCAGTCAGCATCTACCGGCCTCACTCTGAGAACCAAACAATGCCTTTGCCGTAGTATACTACTTCAAACAGCCCTCTGCCTAATAATATTGGAAGCAAAAAATATGGTGTTTCTGTACACCTGAAAACACATATGGCAAGCTGGGTAGGCAATGTTCTTCTCATTGGGTACCAGACGATCAAAACTGTAATAGCCCAAGCAAATGTACATGTAGAAAATATTTTCAAAGAAGCCTCATTTCTTTTCTTTTTTCTTTCTGTCTTTTTTGTTTTTGCTGGTCACAGGGCTTGAACTCTGGGTCGGGGCACTGTCCCTCAGCTCTTCAGCACAAGACCAGCGCTCTACCACTTGAGCCACAGCGCCACTTCCTCAAAGAAGCCTCATTTCTACACCTGTAGTAAAATATAGCAAGCAAGAACTTCTATGTCATCTTCTCTCTGATCATCTTCCCATTGCTGATAATCAAATTGCTACTGTTAGGTTGTGCTCCTTCCATTCCTAAGCAAGTGCTGGTTGTACTGTTTTACATTTACTATCATTGTAGTGATTTGAGCAATATATATTGTGTTTCAATTAATAGGAATATTCCTTCAGAATGAGGATAAGTTTTATGTGTTAATAAGCACTGTTCTGTTTTACACAAATGTCTTACAAACTGCATCCTTAATTATCCTTAACATCAATAGAGTAGACAGTACTTTTTAGGAGATGAATTTTAAGTTCAGAAAAAAAAATACCTGGGAAAACAATAAACTTCATAAAGTTCATCACATTTGAATGATTCTATTAAATCCATTCTATCGTTTTTGTTTGTTTGTTTGTTTGTTTACTACGCATGAAACCACTTCAGGCATTTACTGTAACATATGTACCATAGCACTCAGAACTCTGACTCTGAACAAGTTCAATAAAGAACTTGGTGAACAATGTCTTGTCAAAGTTCTTGACCCCTGTACATGCCAGATTGCACCACTGATCAGGATATTAGCAACTTTCCAACATGCTCCACCCATTAAAAAATATTCAGGTGGGAAATATTCATTAACTTGATGGTGTAGCTATGTTAGAAAAGTGGAAACTACAGAATTACATTCTATAACCTTTTCAAGCATAGGAAAGGGTTTGATAAGTACCTTAACATACCATCATCTATTATACCCTTATGAACCATATCTATGTGTTGTGTTTCTGTTCCTCATATAATACAGATTAGCTGAAATAAGAAACAACATTTAGCTTGGCACTGGTGACAGATTCACCCCTGTAATCCTAGCTACTCAGGAGGCTAAGATCTGAAAATCAAGGTTCAAAGCCAAAACTAAGTTATTTAAAAACTCAATTATTAAATAGGAGATTTAATACTACATAGAAACCATAAAATATTTATAAAGCTCCAAAAATCACAAAGAATATGGACTAAAATTTATTTGTTTGTTTTACTGGTGCCAGACCTGGAGCTTATACTCAGGGCCTGGGCAAGCTCCCTGAGCTTTTTTGCTCAGAGCCTGCACTCTACCACTTGAGCTACAAGCTTAATTTCCAGCCTTTCGGTGGCTACTTGGAAGTTAAGAGTCTCATGGACTTTCCTTCTTTGACTGGCTTTGAACCACAATCCTCAGATTTCAGTCTCCTGAGTAACTAGGATTGCAGGTAGGAGGCACTGGTTAGGCTCAATTTTTTAACATGGAGAAGACAGTTCTAGCTCACAGCCACACCATTTAATAATGCACATAAATTATAGCTGTTAAATTTGACCACTGTTTAATTCACAGATATAAAACTAGTGATCTCATATCATTGTAAATTAACTGATGCACTTAATATATAAGCGCATTGAAGCATTTATATAGTAATAACTTTTCTTTAGTTTCTTGCTCTGTAATGCCTCAAATTTTCTTCTAGATTTGATTTCTATTCATTTTTTTCTTTAGCACAGTTAGAAATTTTGTGTACACAAAAGTATGTATATTTTGAGCTAAAATTTTCAGAGCCATACAAGGAATTCCTCAGAATTGAAGAAGATGTACTACAGGTTGAGAATATAGTCCTATTTCTGTAAAGATAACTAAGATGCTTAACAAATCATATTTAAAGACAAGGAAAGAAATTCTCTAAACACTTGCCATTCCCAGCCTCCCTTATAAAAGAAAACAAAGTTCTTTTCGGTCTAAACCAGGCCTCTATGTATAAAGAAATCCTCCTTAGATATTGCTATATTTTTAAGGTAAGTACAGTCTATCTAAAATTGAACTGGAGTTTTAAGATAAAAAACATTGTCATTAGGGAAGTGATTTAAAGAGGACAATTTTACATAGGAAGATATAAACAAAAAGATTTCCTGACAGGTAATAAAGGCCTTACCTATGAATGAATTCAAAGGTGGGCATGAGGGCAGAAAACTAAGCCATTATTAAGGGAAGTTCAGCATGACTGAGTGACTGAGGTGAATCTGTAGATTTCCAAGATCTTCTGTTGATAAGGACAATTGGGTAGAAAGAGAAACAAGAAACTTCTATAGCCAAGACCCTACAACTAGTGTTTTATAAGTTCAAAATCATTTGCTGAATGTATATTTTGCTGCAAACACCATCATAGGTCCTATTGAACATGATTCCTGACAGTCAGTATTAATCTCCAAAACCTGAAGTGGAGAAGTGCTAAGTTACTAAACAGCGTTTATTCCAACAGTCTCAAATAAGAGAAGATTGGTAACTTTCCAGAAGATTATAGTGAGTCTTTTGTTATCAACCATGGCTAATGACAAGCACAGATACAGTGCTTCATCTTCAGCACATTGAATTATAGCACTACTACTATTCAGTAGTGTCTTCTACATCCAAAGCCCTGAGCTCAGTGATGATTCACCAGTTCACAACAATGATCTACAGCTTAGGTTCAACATTTACTCAGTGTTTCCTATGAGGTAACATGAAAGCACAGCTTATAAAACCATGTATTCCAAGTTTAAATGGCGCCCATGAAACAAACAGGTTAACACTTCAAATGCTTGTAAAGTGGAACATGATACTTAAAAGATGAACTGTAAGAAATATAACACTTGGGCATTGCTGTTGAGAAGGTAAAATGATGACAGCTGTTATGGAAAACAGCGTAAGGGGTTCCTCAACATTAAAGGCTAGAAGAGACAATCAGTGCTAGAGCATGTGCTCAGCATGTAAAAACCCTGGATTCAATCTCTAACACCTAAACAAATAAACAAAAGTAGATACTATCCAGCAATTATCTAGCAATTCCACTGCTGGACTTATGTCCAAAAGGATCAAAAACAGGGACTCAAACAGACATATATATACACACACCAATGTTCATAATAGCATTATACACAAAAGCCGAAATGGAGAAACATTAACAAATTAGCATGTGAAATGTACATTTTATATTGTATTATGCAGTCTTTAAAAGGCAATTCTGACAATGTTCCAACATGGATAAGCCTGGAAGACAACATGCTAAGTGAAATCAACGATCAAGTCAAATGTTGTCTGATCCTACTTATCAAAGAGGAACTGAAAGAGTAGACAAACTTATAGAGACAGAAACTGAATGGTAACTCATGTCTGTAATCCTAGCAAGTCAGTAAGTTGAGGTTCAAAGCCATCCCAGACAGAAAGTCCATGGGGCTCTTACTTCAACTTACCAATCTAAAGCTGAAAGTGGAGGAGTGGCTCAAGTGGTTGAGCACCAGCCCCGAGTGAAAAAGTCAAGTGAGAACATGAGGCCCCACATTCAAGCCCCAGTACCCACATATACAAATAAATACACACACACACACACACACACACACACACAAAATAGCAGAGACAAGTCTGCATAATAATACCAGTGAGTACTCTTAACTCATGCCAGTCGACAGCAATGGCATTCAACTCACATTAGTAATATAATAAGGGAGAAGGAAAACTCCATTTTTCCCTTTTGTTTCAAAGGTGTTCAAATCACTAAATATTCCATTCTATGGAAAGGCCTCTCTGTGGTCACATTCAGTTCTCCCTAATTTAAAAGCTGCAAAGGGCATAAACGCCCCATCAGACAGAATATTGATACCATGACCCTGCCTGGTAATACTAGTTCCAAGTTTGTCAGACTAAAGGTTAGAATAATTTGTAAACAACATTAAAATGTTTTGATTGCATTTCTACAATTTAAATGTAAGCAGCGCACAGACAATTGAGATTAAAAATTCATTCAAAGACACTAATATATGAGGAGCAAACCACAAACCTTCTTGAGAAGACACAATGGGTGGTAGGTAATCAGGAATGTACTCCTTTCTTTCTTCTGCATCTTTACTTCCAGGCTGAGGAAACTGAAGTACATTGTTCTTGCTAACAGGAAATGAAGGAATTTGATGTGGGAAGGTGACCGGTTCAATATTGTGAATATAGTCTTCTAGTTCATGCAGACTGACCCCCATAAGTTGGAAAGCTTCACCAACATCATCCAAAATTGGGTCTGTTCGGCCATCTGAAACAAGTTAAAATCAAATCAAACCATTTTAGGAAAATCCTATGAACAATCAAAACATGTTAGGAAAAAGATATTAAGTAGGGCCTGGGAAGGTGGCTTAGTGCTAGAGTGCTTGCCTTGCATGCATGAGGCCCTGGGTTCAATTTCTCAGCACCACATAAATAGAAAAGGCCGGAAGTGGCTCTGTGGCTCAAGTGTAGAGTGCTAGCCTTGAGCTGAAGAGCTGAGGGACAGTGCCTAGGCCCAGAGTTCAGGCACCACAACCAACCAAAAACAAAAACAAAGCAAAAAAAGATATTAAGTAAATAGTTCAGAATTAAATAACTTACTTAAAACCTAGTCACTGTAAAAAAAAAACAATGAATTTTGGAGTATCATATTACTTATCTGTGTATATATGTACACACATATGCACAAATACACACACATACACATATACATATACATGCCTGTTCTGGGGATTGAACTCAGCCCTTGATCAGTTTGCTTACTCATGGCTGGCACTATGGTACCCCTTAAGCCACACCTCCATTCCAGCTTCTGGCTACTTAATTGGAAATGGAGTCATGTGCCCTTTTCTGCATGAGCTTACTTTGAACCATGATCCTCTGAGTAGCTGGGATGTCAAGCATGAACCTATCAGGATGTTTTTATTAACTGAAATTCCCTTTGGTCCCTTCAAAATTGGAGTTATACTTAAGATATGTGGTGTACCCTCAAGAAGCTCATGTTTTGAAAACTGGGTCTCGGGCTGGTATGTCCAATCTTGAGAGGAGCATGCCTCTATAGCTTATTTTGTCCTTAGCCCCTTACTTTCTCTCACTGTTCCTCATGACCATAATTAGGTGAACAACTAACTTCACTTGGCTATATGTTCCCAATGTCATGATAGTCTGCCACACTTCAGGGCTACAGCATGGTACAAGCTGCCCATGGAATGAAACCACAAGTCTTTCTTCCTTTGAACTGTCTCTCTCAGTTATTTGTATCAAAATGACAAAAAGTATAACACAAAATGTCTGAAATTAAATCACACTGTAAAATGTAAAAGAAAATCCAAATGTGGTAAGAGGTAGATGTGCACAAGCTCACAGGGACAGAGTCTGGATGGATGCTGGGCATGGTGGTACACAACTGGCACCCTAGCATTTGGGAAGCTGAGGCAGGAGGATCAAAATTTTTAGGTCAGTCTGGATTCTGTTGTAAGACCCTGTCTCAAAAAAAAAAAAATCTCAAAGGATATATGGTCAAATTAATTGTGGAAGATATAGTACAGGAGGCTGGGATGGCTGAAGCAGGATGATCACTTCTAAATTTTTATAATAATTTTTCTACAAGTGAATTCGACAATGTGAAAAAAAGATATTCTCCATCTTACTGAACATGGAGTCATATTTCAATTCTTACTGATTTTGTGTAGCAATGGGATTTGAGTTCAGGGATTTGCACTTGCTAGGCAGATAGGCTACCATGGAACCTGAAATCTTCTAATATTATTCTCTTAGTCTAAAAAAAAGTAGAATCTTGAATTCTTCTCTATGCTTTACAGCCCCCCTGCTTTTTTCTTGCCACAGATTTCAGACTTTCTTCTATCTCTGTTACTCCTACTATGGCCACATCAATACAGAGTGGTCACCACTCACCTACTGGAGACAGTGTTCTAAGATCCCCAGTGGATACCTGAGACCTATGCATACTCTGCTTGTCATGTACTTAACATATCTATGATAAGGATTAATTTATAAATTGGCACAGTAAGAGATTAACAATAACAGCCAGGTGCTGGTGGCTCACTCCTATAAGCCTAGCTATTCAGGAGGCTGAGATCTAAAGATCATGGTTCAAAGCCCAGGCAGGAAAGTTTTTTTTTTTTAATCTCCAATTAACTATCAGAAAACCAGATATGGCATTATGACTCAAAGTGGTATAGCAATAGCCTTGAGCTAAAGAGCTCAAGGAGAACACCCAAGCCCCAAGTTCAAGCCCCACCACCACCACCACCACCAACAACAACAACAAAAAAACCCCAAAACAGAATAACAGAAAACCACAATGAGTTATTAAAGTTGTTTAAGACACCATTTTTATTTTGTTCTTCCTGCTTCACAACTGTAAGGTCTTGAGTTCAATTCTCACTATCTTCAAGAAGGAAAAAAAAAGATGGATTTTTCAGACCAAGTTTAACTAAAGTTGTAGATGGCAAATCTAGGCAGATTACTACTGTAGTTTTAAGTTCTTCCCACTTGAATCTCTCTGGCATGCCAGTATAACTTTCTAAAAATACCATCTTCATCACAGCATTCCCCTACTTAGGGGCACAAAATGTTTTCTACCCCCATTTTACTTCTTTTTACTTTTCTTTTCTCTTTTGCAGCCCTAGGGTTTGAACTAAGAGCTTCCTACTTGCTTGCTTCTATCATGGAGCCCAGCCTTCAAGTTTGTTTTCTTGTCTCCTCTTCCCCCCACAGGGTCTCTCTTTATAGTCCAGGCTATCTTCAAACCTGAGAGATCCTCCTGCTTCAGCCTCTCTAATGCTTGGATTACAGATGGGCACCATAACTCACATGTTTTACTTCAATAAAGACTTTAATTCCTTCAACAACCTGATTTCATACTTTTGCACATTTCCCTTGAATATCCTTCCAATGAACTAGCTATACATGTCAAGCTGGCTACTTCAGTGGTACTTTTATTACTTCTATTTGGACATTTATTTTACCCTATTCTCTACCCTAGAATTAGAATTCTCTAACAACAGATTACTTTTCTTTAAAGTAATCCTGGAACCCAGAGCCCACAAACATCTCTCCTTTATCTTACTCCTTTCGTATTAACTGTTAGTACCATGCAATAATCAAGTTACAGATCTAGTTTTGAAGGGTCATTCTAAAAGAGGTATGATTGCTTTCAGTACCTGGACACATAAGTAATATAATTTCTATGCACACCAAAATATATGCCTCTGAACACCTGAAGAAATTGTTAACTGAGGAAAATTTTTAATTCATTGTTTGTTGAATTTATACTTGAGAATATTAGCTTTGGATGCCATCAGTTTGTGTTAACATTCTGATTCCCTTGTACAGACGCTGTGGACAGAGATTGCATCTTAGTAATTTTATATCACCCAGCGCAGGGCTGAGTTCATAAGTGTTCTTATTACAAGAAAAAGAGTTGGGTGCCAGTGGCTCATGCCTGCAATTTTAGCTACTAAGACTGAGATTCAGAGGACCAAGATTCAACGTCAGCCCATCCAGAAAAATAAAAGGAACTGTACCAATAATTAACCAGAAATGGCTGGGCAGGACGTGTAACTCAAGTGGTATAGCACCAGTTATGAGCAAAAAAGCCAAGCAAGCTTGCGGCCCTGAGTTAAAGGCCAGTACCCACAAAGCAACTGTCAAAAAGACAAAAAGCATATAAATGGGAAGAATATAAGATGGCAAAATAGTAACCTCAGGTTACAAAATTCAATTTTAAAATGACATGTCAGAAATATAACCTAAGAATGTCTGTCAAATACATACAGTTAAACTTCTCAAAAGTCACCAAACCACATATGGGAACGATGAACATGATAATCAATCACATTCACACTAAATCCAAGAAAACTGATCAATAAAATGGGTAGCTAGAAGGCAGGCTCACACTAAGGTACTACAGTGAACCACTGATGACTATGAACTGCCAGTTCATACTCTGGTTCTGTGTAGAAGGCATAAAATGTAACTAAGTATTCAGGGGATATTTTATATATCTAAAGGTTCACAGCACCTGTCTTTATTTAGAAAACAAGGTAACAAAATTATAATCTGGACTACCCATAATGGTAACAATATACTTAAGGACCACAGAGGGGGAACCTGAAGGAAAAATGCAAAAGCCAGAATATTTCACCAATAGTATACTTCCAAGATACTAATGAATGAACTCTATTTTAAAGATCCCAATTAGTGGTATCGGGGAAATCAAGCATTCAAAAGATGCTTCAAAGATTTTAGAAACTCAAAAAGTAAATAAATAGTTATTATAGTAGTGGATTATCAGTTCATTTATCCAACAAGTATTTCCTCAATGCTTATTGTATTTTGGCCTTTTACAAGATTACAGAACACAGACATACATGAACAATTACAAAACAAGGTGATAAATAACATATGGGGAAACATGAACCGAATTATAAGAGCAGACAACATGAGTTCCTTAGAGCCGATGATAAGTGAGTATCAAAATATAAGCAGTACAGTGGACCAGGGTGCAAGACACTCAAAGAAACAGCATGCATATAGGAGTAGATGGCTTAAGATGTTTTGGAAAAGCAGGTAGCTCAGCATGGTGGCAGATTAGTATGGCAGGGTAGGAGAAGATAAGAAAAATGCTAGCTTACAAAGGGAAATGTGTGATGTTAAAAGTTTAGACTATTAGCTATAACAAATCGAGTGCAACTGAAGTATTTTTCAGAAGAATGACAGGTTCAGATTTGTGCTGTGCATATGATCCCATCTGTGTTATGGACAGATTACTCTGGCAGTAAAATGGAATTGTAAGTACTGTATTTCAAACTTTGTGTGAGTGTGTGTGGTTGGGGGGGGAGATCCTGGGGCTTGATCACGGGGCCCCTGAGCACTGTCCCTACCTACTAGAGCCACAGCTCCATTTCTGGCCTTTTGTGGTTAATTAGAGGTAATAGTCGCACAGACTTTCTCGCCTGGGATGGTTTTGAACCGTGATCCTAACATCTCAGTCTCCTGAGTAGCTAGGATTACAGGTGGGAGCTACTTGTGCCGGGCTTCAAGTTTTTAATCTAGAAGCTGGTTCAACAAAACGAAGTATTTGTGTGTGTGTGTGTTTGTGCTAGTGCTGAGGTTTGAACTCAGGGCCTGGGCACTGTCCCTTAACATTTTTGCTCAAAACTGGAGCTCAATCACTTGAGCCACAGCTCCACTTCTGGAGCTTTTTGATGGGTAACTGGAGATAGAACCTCACAGGTTATCCTGCCCAGGCTGGTCTTGAACTGCAACCTTCAACCTTCAGCTCTTAGCCTCCCTAAGTAGCTGGGGTCACGGGTGAGAGCGTCCAGCACTCGGCCACAAAACCAAGCATTTTATGAAAACACTTCATCAACTTACGCTCCTAAGCTGACATCTGAATGAACGGTGGTACCCTCCCCATCACAGTCACACAGGCGCGCGCACCGATGCGAAAGCCCCTTAAACCACAGGGTGAGCAGCTGTTCAAGTCTTCCCCAGGACCACACACGGCCGGTTACACGTGAAAGCCATCCACCCACCCGTACGCCGCGGCCCAGCTTTACCTCGAGGAAGTAGCAAAGTACCTGTGTGACCCCCTCTTAACCATGTTCGGATGAGCACTGACTGGGGGGGGGGGAGGAGTCAAGCGAAAGTGACTTGAGAGTGACTCGTAAGCAGCGAAAGCGACAGGAAAAAAAAAAAAAAACAAACCCCCAGCAGCGATGGAGAAAGTTTGAGCGGAGCTGCTGTCTGGCGACCGGGGAACAGATGCAGAAAGAAGAGCGAGGGGGAGGGCAGGCCAGTCCAGGAAGGAGCTGTCAACGAGTGAGTGGGCACGGGGCGGCCGCCGGGAGCTCGGGGCTGGCCCCGTCCGGTCAGAAACGGCCGGTAGACGGAGCGCCGGTGACAACTCGTGTAGCAGTTGGCGGGCGACGGGGATGGAGAGGAAGGGGGGTGATGAGGGGGGGCGGGAAGGGGGGGGACCCAGGTGAGGACCGGGTGAGGAGGGATCCGGAGGAGTGGGGGGGGGGAGGCCGTCCCCCTCAGACGGCGGACAATGAAGATCCCCCCCCCCCAGCCCCGGGCGCACCTCGGCGCGGCGGACGGGAGGGGTGGGCGCGGAGCTCCGGCCCGGGGCTCCCGCGGGGGGCCGGTGGCGGGAAGTTAGCGGGCGAGGCAGAGCCGCCCCGGGGATGCCTGGAGTTTGCCCGGGACGGCCCGGGGGTGGGGGGGAGGAGTGTGGGAGATGAGGGGTGGGCGCCGCGGAGGTGTCACGCCGAGCCCTCCCTCCCCCAGCCCGGTACTCACAGAGCTCCGAGTACCGGTGGCAGCCCCGGCCCAGCTGCTGCAGGTAGCGCTGCAGCACGTCGGTGAGGAGGTGGCAGGCGCTGAGCTGCACCGAGTCCCAGCCCAGCGCCTGGCAGATCTGCGCCACCGAGACCCTCAGCAGCGACCGGGAGTAACTCTCGCACATCCCGCTGCGTGGACGGGCGCCGCCGCCGCCGCAGCCCTCGCGGACGCCGCGCTCCAGCCCCCCGCCGCCGGGCCTCAGCGGAGCCTCGGGTTCATCCTCGGGGGAGGGGGGGACCCCTCCGCCCCGCGCCCCGCGGCGGGGACACCGGCCCTCTCCCGCCTCCCAACCCCGACCCTCAGAGGCGACCACCTCAAAGCCCCGGCAGCACCGAGCGCGCCAGCCTGAGAGCCGCCATTTTGGCCTCGCTCCGCCTCCCGCTGGAAGGCCGCCGGAGCGAGGCAGCACCAGACGAAACCCGAGAGCGCCGAGGCCGAAGCTCCGCCCCGTGGGAGCAGAGCGAGCGTCTCGGTATCGATTCTCCGGCCTTGGAAAGGCAACCGGAAACGGACGGGCTGAGCGCAGTTGGTGGCGGAGCTCTGGGACAAGCAGGTGCTGCCGGGGTCCCTCGAGGGAGGGGGGGTGGGAACGGCAGGGTGGGGGGCGTCGAAATGAGAGGGGGGCCGCCGTCTGTGTTTCCGGGGGTCCAAGGAGGGAGCTAGTGCATGAATTAAAAAACAAGCTGTTCACTGGAGAGGTTGTGGCTGGAGGATCTTGGAGTTCGAGGTCAGCCTGGGCCACCTAGTGAAATCCTGTCTCAAAAACAAAACAAGGGGCTGGGAAGGTGGCTCAGTGGTAGAGCGCTTGCCTTGCATGCATGAGGCCCTGGGTTCGATTCCTGAGCACCACATAAGCAAAAAAAAAAGCTGGAAGTGGCGCTGTGGCTCAAGTGGTAGAGCGCTAGCCTTGAGCTGAAGAGCTGAGGGACAGCGCCCAGGCCCAGAGTTCAGGTCCCACGACCGGACCCAAAACAAACAAACAAACAAACAAAAACCCACTCAGTTTAGCGTGTCTTTGAACAGTCATCGCATTACAGCTGGAACGGGGGGGGGGGCGTCTCTGTGGTAATGACCCTCACCCCCAAAGCAACAGCCAAGATCAATATTTCCTTCTTTTAAAAACAATTTTCCTCTGCACAGCATCTTTACAGTAACATAAAATGAAAAACAAAACGATTTTATTGTAAAGGTGATGTACAGAGGGGTTACAGTTGCCTAAGTCAGATATTGAGTACATTTCCTTTTGAACAGTGTCACCTCTTCCCTCATTTTCTGTTTTTTCCTCCAGGCCCCCCTCCCCAATATTTTCTTTTTTTAAACAATTCATTTCAATCAATATTTTATATGATCAGAAGCACTGAGGCATTGCACATTTGTGTAACTCTCCCCTCAAAGTATCCTCCCTTTGGTGTCACTGTGTGTGAATGTTTAGAGTCCTGTATAATAAATATATTTTAAAAAGTTGAAGTGCATGCTATAAACTGCCCTCATCTCACAGGCCTTTTCCGGTAAAAGGTCATTGCTCCACAAACATTGCCAGCCACTGTGACCTAACCAGGATGTGAGGAACTCGATTTCCTAGAGCTAAATACTAATCAAAATACATGACATGGACTGTATCCTGTTCACCTAAAGTTGCCGAAAGGCCTGGTTACCTGCAGCAGACCCTTCTAGGTCTTTTTTGAAGATGCCTGAAGTTGGGATGTTCTGATAAAGAACATTTTTAAATATTGGGAAGAAAATTTTGCTTTGATTTTTGAGTCAGTCATGCTATATTGTCCAGCTGGCTTCCAATTCGTGGGCTCAAGTGATTCCCTGTCCTCAGCCTCCCCTGTAACTGGGGGGAGGGAGGGTGCCGAAGCCTACACCAGGCCAGGGGTGGCATGGAATTTACAAGCTTTTATTTATTTTGTTGGTAGTGGGGCTTGAACTCAGGGCCTGGGTGCTGTCCCTGAGCTTTTTCTGCTTAATGCTAGCACTCTACCACTTTGAGCCACAGGGCCTCTTCTGGTTTTTTGTTTAATTAGAAGTAAGAGTCTCATGGATTTTCCTGCCCAGGCTGACTGAACCGTGATCCTCAGACCTCAGCCTCCTGAGTAGATAGGATTATAGGCATGAGCCACAGACACCCAGCTTTTACAAGCTTTAATTTATAAGCATAAGTAATTTCATAGGTTAGATGACTAATCTGAATTTAGTTTGGCTCGAGCCAAGTTGTGATTGCTGATTTACTTTGTTCTTAAATGTGCCTTTCTGTCCTTACTAACAATGATTTAGTACATGAGTTTATGCGGTTTCACCAATATTTGTGCTTCTGAGTAGCTCTATATCCTTTCTGCCAGAAGTACTCCAGAACATTGAGCATAAGAATCAGTTTTTACAAACTTAGGAAAACTCAGTAGACCTGAAAACATGGTAGATCAGCCAAATAATATGCAGAGAAGAAACAAGGTAGTAGGTGGGAACATGCCTATATTTACTCTATTGATACTTCTGTTCCCAAAATTATCAAGGTGTATGTGTGTGTGTGTTTGCTGGAACTGGGGCTTAAATTCAGGGCCTTGTGCTTACACTCTTGCTTTTTTGCTCATGGCTGGGCTCTACCACTTGAGCCACAACTCCACTTCTGGCTTTTTGCTGATTAATTGGAGAGAAGAGTCTCAGGAATTTGTCTACTAGCACTGTCTTTGAACTCGGATACTTAGATCTCAGCTTCCTGAGTAGCTAGGATTTTAGTTATGAGCCACTAGCACCTGTCTTATTAGGGACATTTCTGATGCTAAATCGGAGGCACACTTTTCAGTCCTCACCATATTTGACCACATTTATTGCTGTTTGATAATATTGAAACTTCATTTGCCTGTGAAGAGTGGAAAAATTTCAAACCTACTGAAAAGTTGAAATAGGCAATTGTTAACATTTTTTGCCACATTTGCCATATATGTTGTATTTATTATATACATACTTTTTTCCTCTACCATCTATTCTAGATTGCTCTCACTTCTGGTCTTGGAACATCCTTAGTGACATGACCCAGAACTTCATGCACAGTACTTCTGAGCCCTAGTTTCCATGTCTTTTCCAAACAGTGATTGCTGAGTTTGTCAATGTACCATCAAAATTAAGTAAGAATGCCAAAAGGCTCTCAAACAAACCCCTTCTATGCCAAATGTTGCTGCTGGTCCACAACTTCGTCAGAGAAGCTAGACTTTCTCCTAATGTTTAGGATTAATTGCTCCTGCCTACAGGATGGCTTCTCAGTTTGAGTCTGACTCTTGACTAACATTGTATCCATAGCTAATATTTTTATCAGGATGCCCTGGAGAAAACATTGTCCCTATAAACCTGGAGAGCCTATAGTATCGGGGACAGGGAGAGTTCCCCAAATAAGTCACTGGGAATGATGGTCAGAGGAGAACTTCTGGCCTGTACCCGAAAATGACTGTCAGGAACCCAGCACCATAGACAAGCCATTGACTTAAAGAATACACAGCACTCCAGTGGATTATACTACATGCTTACAAGGTAGTGCCTGTGCACTGGTTCTTTAATGGTGCCTACAAAAGGTTATTGCATTTTTCTGCCAGGCTGACAGCTTGAGTGGTTTGTATGTCCTATTACCAGTGGATTTCATGCTTCATATGTATTCCTATATACCTTCTTTGTTAGAATAATAAGTCCCAAGGGCTGATGAAATATATGTGACAGTACTGGTCTGCTTCTTACCAAAATAAATGACTGCCCTTTCTAGGATCAGAGGAACTTAATGCAGTCTACTTGGTCTTCTTGGATAGTCTTTGAGTTTTCTTATCCTTGTATAGACTACAGTCCAGGTAGATTTGATTTTCCCAGAGCACTCTCCTTGGCAGACTGCTGTCTTCTCACCAAGTATCCTCAAGTGGCCTTTCTTCTTTGTGTACACATTCCTTGTGTCTCTTCTAGTCCATGGGACCAGGCCCATTGAGTCATAATGATTCAATTTAACTTTACTTTTTAAAGGCCCCATCTCCAAATACAGTCACATACTGAGGTGTTACCTGCCGTTCCAGCCTCACATATTTGGAAAGGAACACAGCTCTCACTTCATCAGAGATATCAGCATCGATCTTGTGGCAAGCAAGCAGCCTAGATGTTGCCCAAGAAAGAAGTCCCATTGCTGTCCTCTTTCACATCCATATGAAATTAGCTGGAGCACAGAATCCATCTATTTTTGACTTTCATTTGCCTCCCAAGCTGCTCATCCATGAAATAAGCTTGGCTTTTTGTCCTTCCTGTTAGAAGCTGGTCATAAGGAATTGCCGTGCAACCATGAGCATAAGGTGGAATGAGAAACACTAGTGCAACATTAATGCAGGCACTGCAAGCTGGCCTCCTTTCCCCTGTAGCTTGCTGTGTCCTGGGACCCTGTTGATGGTAGATTCTGAATGTATACTTTCTTTTAAAGTCAACTGTTGCTACTTTTAGCCTTTTGTCCAAACTTGTGATAGGCAGTTCTTATACTTACTTGGTTTCCTATGATCAGACATTCCATGTAATTTACCATGCCAGGAGCTGTTTTTACCAAAGATCTAGAATTTTCCCCCACACATCATGATCTTACTCCAGAACATGGGGTGCCATTGCAATTTACCATTTAGAACTTACAATGAACATCACATTGCAGATGCCTCTACTGCCTGAGTCCACCAGGTTACCCAGGCCTTGTAAAAAAGAAAAAGGCAGCAGTAATACCTGATACTGCACCAGCTGCAGAACCCTTTCCTGCTTCAGGCCTCATCTCAAAATTGGCAGCCTTTCACCTTTCATGCCTTCAGTATATAGTCCAGAAAGAAGCCCTAAGGGTGACAGGCTTTGCTTTCAGAAGCCAAAAAAACGTAGCAGGCATGTTTCTTCATAGTAGAAGGCACAAGGGGCAATCATTTGCTTAGATCTGTTGCTTGTAGGAGACATGCCAGGCAACTAGATCCTAAAAGCTTTACTGATACAGTAGGCCAGTGAAACTTTGTAGACCCTTAAATCTTTGTAAACCTCTGAATCTTCCACTCTCTGGGATATATGTACTTAATGGAGCCTTTAATACATTAGCACCTAGGAGTGGGAGAAAAGAGCAGGGAGCAGGATTAGAGGGAAAAGGAAGGGAAGGGATTGGAGGGGAGGACATGGGAAGGAAGGAAGCTGGGATGGGGAGAGAAGAAAGTGAAGAGAGGGAAGGAAGGGCAGGGAAGAATAGAAGGAAGCAGGATTTGGGCAGGGAGACATCGGTTTGCACTCAGGAGGGACTTTGCCAACACATTACATACACGTGAGTGCAAGGGGATCAATCTGGCCTCCCACATTGATCAGGCATGGAAAGTGGGCTGCATGACAAAGCATAATTA